GTATCATAAATAATGTACAGTGTTGGGACCACTGGGGGGAAAAAAAAAACTCTTCCTCTCCAAAAGATAAACGAGATAATATTTTTTTTGAGCATTCGTTATGTGCCCAGTACTTTACAGTATCATCTTATTTATTTCCTACAGTGAGCAGTGAATATTATTTGGCTCCATTTCATAGGTATAAAAAGTAAGATTCAGAGAGAGTAAGTTGCTTGCTCATGAGATGGAGCCTGGATTTGAAAGGTTTGCTCCTGCCTGAAATCCAATCAAGCCGTTTTTCTACCTATTGTCTCCAGGGTTATACAAAATATAGACCCTCTCGATGAGCTGGAACATGCCAGTGACCTGCAAAGAACTGGGGGATGAAGAGAATGGTGAATTCCCAGGGCAGGTGATCAGGGAGCATGAACCCCCCAGAGAATCACTCTCATTCTCAGGCTCAGTCCTTCTGCTTTCTGCCGCATGTTTCAACTTAGCTGTCACTTTCTCCAGGCAGCATCCACTCACCCTCACACCTGGGACAGATGCTTCTCCTCCAGGCTTCTAAAGTCCCTTGTATCTTATTGGCTGCAGCTACTTTTTTGCCTGGAAAACTCCATATGGTTAGAACCAGTTCTAACGCTCTGTCAATACCTGCCCAGAACAGTGCCTGCCACATACGAATGCTCAATCAGGACTACAGCAGGGAGGTGAAGAGGGAGGGAGGGTGGCGGGTCTTTGCTGAAGTTTGAAATGGCATCGTGCTGATATGGGAAAGGTAAAGGACTGGAAGCCAGGAAACCCACATGAGTAAGTTATCTGACCTTGGGCAAGTTCATTTTGGGGGGCCTGAAAATGAGGACAACAGCCCCTTCCTCATGGGTTTAAATTAAAGGATGAGCCAACCTTGAATGTACTTCTCTACACTCTCTCTCCCTAGAGCTCACCCATTTTGTCGGCCGACTTCTAAACACCGACAACTCCCACATTTGTATCTCCAGCCCAGACTCCCCACCCCCCCAGGTTCCATGTCAATGCCTTGAGCATCTCCAAGACAGCATTTGAATTTTCTCCTCTAGCTCCAACTTGCTCCTAAACCGACTTGCTCCTCCACTCTGTGACTGGTGGTCCCATATCTACCCAAGCTTCTTTCTTTTATAATTGAGGTGAAATTCATATAACATAACAGTAGCCATTTTAAAGTGTACAGTTCAGTGGCATGTAATACATTCATAATGTTGTGCAATACCACATCTATCTGACTCCGAAACATTTTCATCACCCCAGTAGAATACCACTTGCCCTTTAAGCAGTCATGTGCCATCTAGCCTTTCTCCCCAAGCCACTGGTAAGCACTAAACACCAATCCGTTTTCTGTTCCTATGGATTTGCCTGTTCTGGATATTCCTATAAATGGAGTCATATGCTATGTGATCTTTGGTGTCTGGCTTCTTTCACATAGAATGATTTCAATGTTCATTCACGTTGTAGCATATATCGGCACTTCATTCCTTTTTACAGCTGAGTATTATTCCATTGTTAGTATGTACCACATTTTGTTTATCCATTCATCTAGTGATGGACACCCTGGCATCTCATCTTAAAATATAAACCTGACCCTTGACCCTTCCCTTTACTGTATTCCCCATACCTAATGTATCAAGTCCTGTACATTTTGCATCCAAAATATAGCTCCAATCCTACTTTTCCCCAACGCCACTGCTATCATGAAGCCAGGACACCAACATCTCTCACCTAACTCCTAGTTTTTGACAGGGTCCCATTCTTCTCTCTGCTCCACTTTCCAGCTGGTAACTGCAGAAACTCTCTCATCCATTCGCTTCAGCAATGTTTACTGAGCACTATTCTCAGTAAACATTCTCCATGGGGCTTGCCTCCCAGAAGCATGACAGGCAACAAAAAAAATCCATACTGTAACACCAGGTTGTTACTCAGCTTAAAATCCTTCAATGACTGTTCCTTGCACTTTGAGGAAAATCCACGCTCAGCACGGCCTTCCCAACTCATCTCAGGCTGCTCCCCGGTCAGGCTGAGCTCCGTTCCTCCGCCTCATGGTCCTTGAACAAGCTGTTCTCTCCGCCTCATCCCTCAGATCTCAGTGTAAACATCACTCCTTCGGCTGATCTTCCCCGGCCGCTCTGCTCAGCAGATTCACCCTTCATTCATTTCAGTCATTCAAGAAATTTGTGTGAAGCATTGGGCCGGGCCCTTGGGATGAAGCCATGTATGAACTCCTGGAGCCTTCAGACCAGTGGGGAGGACCAAAAAATGGACAGACAAGTGCTACGAAGGGAGAGTAAAGGTGGCGGGGGGGGACCTGCTTTACACAGAGTGGTCCAAAAGGCCTTTCTAAGGAAGTTATATTGAAGCTGGAGGGTGAGAAGGACTCAGCTGGGAAAACGTCCTATTACTCTTCATCACATCCTGGCTATGCAATGCAATGGTGCCTCCTTCAGTGTCTGCTTTTGAAGAAGCACAGCACTGAATGTCTGTCCCCTGTAATAGACTGTACTGTATTTCCAGTACAGCAAACGCCATTTAGGAGGCTTTCAATACTCACTGATTCAGTTAACAATTGGGTAAAAAATGAATTAATAAATCCACCAATGAAATCACTTCTAGAAGCATAATAAATCATATCGTTTTGATATTTGTTGTCATTATCTTCTGGCAAAGGACAGCTACTCTGTTGGGTTTTGGAAAACTACATTGACTGTAAAATGAGAATAAAAGTGCCTAACTTGGAAGATTACTGGATAACTGGGAGAGAACGCATAGGTACATCAGGCACTCAATAACAGGCAGCAAGAGTCCTTGTGGCTATTATTAAAGGCTCTGTCTTTACAAAAGCTGATCTACTCAACTCAAACTCCAAAATCCATTTTCAGATGCAGTCAAGAATTTAAAAGATAAAAAAAATGAGCGTTTTGAAAATGCCTGCTCTGCACCAGGCACCCCACAAAGCCCTTTAACTGTCAGAGTTATCTCATTCACTTTCCAAGCCCATCCTCCCAGATGCCTGCCCTGGTTCGGCTCTCAGTCCCACCGGAGCCCAAGGCACTTCTTACTCCCCCAGCTACGGGCAGTGCTGGCTTCTCACAGTCCACAGCCGAGTGTCTTCCTCTTCAGGAACTGTCCCGCTAAAGGGACACTCAAAGTTGTGCCCCCTCCCTGGGGACAGCGCAGCCACTGGCTGGTCAACATGAGGCTTCAAAGGCTTGGCCCAACGCCTAAAGGGATCAATGGAGACTTCTCTTGCACCCCATCACAGATCAACTTCTCCCTCTGCCCAGTCCTGCTTCCCTCCCCCACTCCTCCCCCCTTCATCCCCAGAATAAGACCACTACCCAGGAATCCCCTACACAAAAATCTCAGAGCCTCTGATTATGTTTTCAGGGAACCAGACCTATGGCAAGTGGGTATGATGACTTCCTTTTACGCCAGAAAACTGGGGTTCAGAAAGGTTGATAATGTCCCCGGGCACATAGCTCAAGTGACTTTCCAGTCGGACTCTCCAGCAGACCTCGCTCATTACTACGGCCTCTAATAGGTGAGGCTGTGTCTCTGCGAGACAGAAAGAAGAACCACGGAGAAGGGGAGGCCAGCAGATCAGAAAGGGGGAGCAAGCATACCCTTCACTTTCCTCCAGGGGTCATTCCTAACGACAAAGTTGAGGTCAAAGCTTCCAGAAACAATTATTAAAAATGACCTGCAGAAGCAGACGTCACATGGACACCATCTCCCCACCCTAATGCATCCATGGCTAGAAGGAGGGGGCAGGGTTCCCGGGCAGATGGGGATGCCTTAAGTGGCCAGTGTATTTGCAGCTGTCGCCCCAATAGTAGCTACAACTTACCAGCTTTCTATGCATCCAGTCTCCATCCCTTTTCCACAGAGCTGCAGGAGTCACTAGATCACTGCAGAATTCTGCCACTGCCCTCCTTCGTCCCAGGACAAAATTCTAAATAGTCTCAGGCTGCTTTTTAAGGTCTGTGCATGCTTTAGCTCCCTGCAGTGTTGACAGCTCATTTCCTACCCACAATATGCCCCCATCCTACTTGATCATCTGATGTAGGATTATCTGATGTTCTAAGTAGGCACAGTGGGCTTTTTCACTTTCTTTATCTTTGCACGAGAACATCTATCTGGAATTCCTGCCATCCCATCAAGTCGTCCCCCCACCCCTCAACACACACAGCTTTCAGCCTGGCAAACCCTCCTACTCCTCTAGTGCCCACTCAATAGTCACCGCCTCCCTGAAGACTTCCCGGCTTGCTCACGGTCCTCCTCTACACCTCAGTCCCCTCTATTATGATGCACTATAATTGTTCCTCCTATAGCCCTTCTTAGTCCCAGGAGCTCCTCCAACGCCCTTCTTCGTGCTGCCAGGGCTTACTTAAGCACAGGGTCTGGCACACAATAGGAGCCCCATAAATGCTGAATAAATGCACGGGGCTCTGGATCAAGAGCTAGTGTCTGCTCCTAGCCTGGGCCGGGAAACCACCGCTCTGAGATGTTTTTCCTGCACCCCAGGATGACTGGGCATAGGAAATGGCATGCCAAATCTGACCCCTAACCCCAGGGCAACAGGTCACGAGGGTCTGAGGACCAAGGCAGAGCAGAAATCCGCCGCTGCAGTCCCTGACTCCCCGCAAGCTCTTCCCTGGGCCCTGGCGCTGAGTGAAGATAATCCGAGGAGCCACTACCCTGAGCCCCTCCGGCTCCCAGCCCTTCAGACATTCCCCGCACGTGGACCTGCCTGTCCCAGCGTCCGGCCCTGGGGCCGCCCGGCAGCAGCCAGGGGACGAAACGTGGCTTGCCGGCTCCTCGCCTCTCTCCCCGGCCCCTGAGCTCCCGCATCCCGCGGGCACACAGCCTGAGCGCCCGGGGACGCCGCCAGGCGCGAGGGCGCCACCAGTAGTCTCGGCTGAGGGGTTGAGGGGGGACTCCCCGCTGCCAGACACCCTACAAAGTCTACTTCGCTGCGGCGCTGTGCTTACCGTGGGAGCCGCCAGGTACCCAGAGCCGGGTGGGTGTCTTGGCCACTGGGCCCGCCTGCGGATCCTCTCCCGCTCCCGGAGCTCAGCCCCCGCATCCCACCTCGCGCCAGCGTCTCCTCGGGGCCGGCCTCCCCGCGCCGCGGCGCCCCATTGGCTCCGGCAGCCAGGCCACTCCCCCAGCCGGCTCCACCCTCCGGAGGCCCCGCCCCTGCACCCCTTTCCCGCCTCACCGCACCCGCCGGTTCCTGGCATCTCCACGCAGGGAAAGTTGCTTCGACTCAGCTCTCACCCGGCTCAGGCAGCCGAGTGAGGTAATAGGTGTCCATCCCAAGAGAGTCTAGACGTCCCTTGGGGAGGGCGAAGAGTGCAGTGGCCTTGGAAGCTGGCTTTGAGCGAGTCACTTGATCTCCCTAGAGCTCAGGAGGCGCCTCTGAGAAACCTGTCAGGACACTGTCACAGATGTCTCAGGTAGTATGCTAGTCATTTCGCACCAGGGGTGCAACAGGGAACGAGACGAAGTTTATCTGTTGCCCTCATGGAGTTTGCATGGGGTGGGGGGGAGGGGGACCATATGCAAACAAACAAACAAGGACCGCAATGTCAGCTGGCTAACACAGTTATGGGGAAGGGAGTGATTATGAATAAGACAGGGCGCCAGGGATGCCATAAATAGGATGGTCTCCAAGGCCACTTTGGACTAGGAGCAGAAGGATAACAGTGGTTCTGAGGCTGGAACTGGAGACTCGGATGGTTGAGTGTGCTGGCCAAGGGGAAAGTGAGCGAGGCCCGAGCAGTGACCGGAGCTGAATCACTCTGGGCCACCTGAGGAGCTTCAGTTCTGTTTTAAGAGCGAAAATAAGCCGTTGGAGGGTTTGAAGGGGTCCTATGACGGTGGTAAAAGACCACTTGGGCTGCTGTGTGGAGAACGGATTTTGGAAGAGAAAGAATGGAAGCAGGTCGACCAGGTTGAAAGTGTCTTAGTCCGCTCAGGCTGCCATAATAAAAATTCACTGCCTGGGTGGCTTAAACAACAGACATTTACTTCTTCACAGCTCTGGTGACTGCAAGTTCAAGATCAAGGCGCCTGCACTGTCTGTTTCTGGTGAGGGCCCTCTTCCCGGCTTACAGACTGCGGCCTTGATCTCCCCCGTGTCCTCACATTGTGGAGAGAGAGAGAGAGCCAGCTCTCTGGCCTCTCTCCTTCACAGGGCACTAATCCCATCCTGAGTCCACACCTCCATGACCTCATCTAAAACTATCTAATTACCCTCAAAAGCCTCCTCTCCAAATACCATCGCGTTGTGGGGCAAGGCTTCAATGTACGTGTGCATTTGGGAGGGGGGGGGGACATAATTCAATCCATACCAGGAAGATATTTCAGAAGTTGAGAGATGATGGTGACTTAGATCCAGGTGGGGACAACAGGGACGGGGACAGTGACCCAACTGAAATGTCTTTGGAGAATATCACGGCAAGTCTTGATGATGGGTTGGATTTAGAGCATGAATGCAGAATGGTTCCTGGGTGTTGAGCTGGAGCCACCCATGGGATGATGGTGCTTTGACCAACACGGGGAAGACTAGGGAGGAACAGGTGAGCGGCAGAGAGAAATTAAAGGCTCCATTGTAGACACTTGAGGGACCTGTTAGACATCCTACAACAACAGTGCCAGGCTCTCTTCAAATTGTTTTATATAGATTGACTATTTATCTATATAGAATTCTCACAATAACCGTATGGTGAAAATGTACCCTCCCTATCCCCATATTATAGGTGAGGAAATGAAGACACTGAAAGATTAAGCAACTTGCCCAAGGTGTGTTCACAACCTGGGGAATCCCAGGGCAAAGGGCGGGGTGAGGGGAGTATTCAGAACTGGCCCCATACACGCAGAGCAAGGAGAGATAGGACAGAGAGGCGTGCCACTCCAGATTGGTAGGTGGCAGGTTTAATAAGCAAGGGAAGTTACATATGAGGCTTGTCTTGGGTGGCCAAAACACGGTAGATCTGTACGCTCACCCACCAGAATCCTAACAGTTTATATAGAAGCCTTAACTAGTTTCAGTCGCATACTCAGTCCAGATGGTCTCCACAACACATTACTCTCTGGAGGCTGCGTCTTTGAAACTGCTCCATATATGGGAACAGTGGGTGGAATACACTTTCCAAGGACAGGGGAAGGTGTGAGGAGCCTCCCATTGCCCGGACCAGCTCCCGGGTCAGACACTGGTCCTGTTCTCTTGATGACCTTCTCCAATGGTGGGTGGTTGGATACACAAGTTTTGATAGAGCTCCGGCAAGAGCCTGGGCCCAGAGATGTGCATGAAGGAGTGCCTTGACCTGGGGCAGTATAAGACCACCTGGAGAAAGTGTGTAGTGGGTGAAGAGAGGAGAGGCAAGGACTGAGCCCTTGCAAAGTTCTCTTCCAACATTTCCACTTACTGCCTGCCCCTTAGCAAGTGACCTCAGTCGATATGAGGAAGTGACCCAAGTTCAGTAGCTAAGAGGGAGTAAGACCAGCTCAAGGATCACAAACTCTAATCCTGTTGGGAACGGGCAATACTATAGCAAGTGAGGTTTGCAAGGTGTGCTAGAACAGGGAGGGGTGGGGGCTGTGGCCTGCTAAGGTGTGCACACTTGCCCAAGGGGGCGGTGGACTCAGCAACAACTGATTTTTGCCGTCTGGCAATATGGACCCCGAGTTCCCAGATGATCCCATTTTTACTAAAGAGCCAGCAAATCAGATTATGTCCAATTTATAGATTTTTTAACATTGGCAATTAATTTTTAAAAATTTTAAAAGACCATGTGGGCCAAGACTGTTGGACAGAATCAAATCCGTATATGGGCAAGAGTAGCTCCTTTGGCTGCTACTTTCCAACTCTGGGTTAGATAATACCTCAGGTCCCCTTAAGAAATTCCTCACAGTTTCTGTTCAGACACAGATGGCGACAATAGTAGCACATAAAAAGATCAAGGAAATCTCAACTTGGAAACCTAGCACAGTCTTTCATAGTATTTGGCTAGCTTCTGCCTCTGCTCAAGTAGTATAGCATTTCTAAGCATCAGTTTCTCTTACCTGTAAAAAACAGGAGGTCAGAGCAGAGCTCCTCCAAGATTCCTCCCAATTCTATTTGGAATTATAACAGTAGTTTGGTTTTTTTTTTTAATTGTATGTTCTCAAATATGCTCAGGGAAATTGCTTGGGGAAAAATGGAAAGGGTATTCTTGTCTGGGTGTGCAAATTCAAAATGCCTTCCTAGTAAGGAGAGAAACAGAGTGAGATAGAATTTAAGATAAAAAACCATGCAAATTATGGCATGGAATTTTCTTTATTGCACTGTGAATAAGACCAAAAAGACAATTAAATAGATGCAGGCATGCTTAATGGTTTCTATTGAAAATTCAATGTATGGTAGCTAGTTCTCCATATATATCACTAAAGGCTTTGCAATAATGAGATTCTCTGTCACGTATTGGAGGTCAGCTGCATCTTAGCATTATATATTCTTATGTGCTGAGCTTATGTAATGAAAATAGCCCGAGAACGGTTAATCACCATCCACTGAGTCAGTCCCTTTTGTCCTCGCTTGAGATATTGTTGAAAGCTGTGAAACAGCTTGTGATTTTACAAATCACTGAGTTTCACGTAGGAGTGAGTATAGGGTTGGGAGCCAAAAGACCTGCATGCACTTGTTGAATAACCTCTTTCAACCTTCTTCATCAGTAAAATGAGAGCCGGACGAAAGGTGACTTCCTAGAAGATATTTGTATTTATACCTCCACATTTCTTCGGGAGGAATTTTTCTCTGTGTGGAGACCTGGTAATTCCCAGGGTGAGATTTTTACACAATTTTCTACCTCCTAGTTCCTCAGTATCCTGGAGGCAGAGATGTCACCTAAGTTAGGCCAATTAGATACTCACTCTCAGGACTTTGTCTCTCCAGAAAGTGACCAGGATGGAGGCAGAGAGAGAGATTGGCCATGAGATTGATCAGAGTGATGGTGGCTGCAGCAGGAGAATCCTGAAGAGGCTGGACCCATGGTTCTGCTTGCTCAAGAGTCTTGTTAGCTAACCTCCAGCATTTCCTATGTTTCTGCCAGTGTCTCAAGTCCGGTCCTTTATGGCATCCCTGTCTCCCATCTAACTTTATTTTGTGAATCTCCCATCTCTGCTAAATTCCCTTCTTCTGTTAGCAGGCCAAATTATTTCTCTTGCTTTTAACCAAGGATCTCAATGGATCCAGTAAGGATAAAAACGTTGCATCATGAGACCCTGTCCCTGGAGAACGAATTCAGAGCAGGAATTCACATATATATGAATGCATACACAGTGACAGGTATGTATAGTCTCTCGCCACTCAGCAAGAAATCCAACCCCACAAGGTAGTTGTGGTTCAGGTTTTAAAAGGTGTTTATTTTTTATAAGAAGAGCCCAGATGTGCCGTTCATAACAGATCTTAAAAAAAGAAGGGAGCCAGCCCTTGTGATAAGAAAAGAATCATAGAAATAAGCCCTGTAATATGTAAATTTGATAGCTGGTAAAGTCCTTTCACATGAATCCACTCATTTCAACTCACTCCTGTGCAGTAGGCAAATTAGATAGTATTTATGATTTCTGCAATTTATGATACTGATAAATAGCTGTCATTCGCTGAACAATTTTTGCAGACCACTGTGCAAAATGCCTTATATACCCATCTACCAACCCGGTTAAGGAGATACTATCCCCATTTTATTCATGCAGAAACTGAGGCATGGTTTATGTACATACTACACATAGTTGAGGTGAGAGCTCACCTCACACACATACAGCTGGGTGCCATGTAACACAGCTAGCGAATGGCAAACCTGACAATGGAACCCAGGTCTGGAGTCAGGAATTTTCTATTCCATTTGGCTATAGCTGTTCCTACTTGCCAACGGGAGCAGACTTGATTCAGTTGTCCATCCATGGAGAGATGTTTAAGGTCATAGGAAAGATCTTCTCATATTTCCCCCCTCTGCCTATCATGGTGTCTCAAATCTGCATGAAGATGAATTGCTGTTG